TATATATATATATATAGATTTTCAAATAAATAATAATCCTCTTTCTTTCTTTGCAAAATCAAGGACTGGAAAAAGGAAAATAAAAATATTGTCTATCATCGTACAAAATTGTCGAGCTGAAAAATATGGCGGATTTTATTGTATTATAGCTTACCTCCGCCCTGAGCTTTTTTATTTCCGATGCAAGCTCCTCGCATTGTTGTGTGTACTGCCACTTAGCCGTTTTCTCACTTTCCACGATCTGCAACAGGTGCAGATGCTTTTGCTCGAGTTCTTCCTTTTGCTGCAGCAATTTGTTGAAACTGAAATCAATGTACGAAAATAAATGGATTTTTGAATGACAAAAGGGGAAAAAAAGAAGGAAAGATCGATTGGAAAATAAAAATGGAACGAAATATATTCAACAATTAATTTGAATGTCAGTGTGTTGTTTGTGTAAAATAATATTACTTTTTTTCTTTTTCTTTTTTTTTTTTTGTTTGTGTTGAAATAAATTGTAAAATGTAATATGAAACGCGAGATCGATATTTTTTTTTTTGTTTTTTAATCTAAATTACCAATACAGTAATAATAAATGTTTTTAATTCGTAGTATTGAGTTGATCGGTGTGCTTACACGTGTGTAAGAATTTTTAATAATAATAAAAAAGAAAAGAAATACAATATTTAAAATTAAAATTCAAAGTAAAATTTAAATATCAAATATTAAAAGCGTTGCGATTAAACTCAAACCAAGCACTGATATAAAATATTGAACATTAAAATTACGATGAAAAATATTAATGCCGTTTAATCGGATATAAAATAGATTAAAAATTCGAATGGAATTATAAAATTGTATTATCAATTGTTTACTTATATATATAATATTAAAATTGTATTATAAAAAAGTAAGATAAAAATTGTCGAACGTTATTTATCGATTAACTCAATATGAAATTATTCATTAAAAACATTATTAATTTAATTTAATGCAATACAATATTTACAAAAGTTTAATTAAATTTCGTATGATTAATATGAAATAAAAAAAAAATCATCGAATCGTAATTATTAAAAACAACGCGTAAAGAGTGAATGTTCTTAATTGAAGGATCAAAAAGAAATGAGAAGAAATATATGTGAAAATTGTACTCATTCATTTAGAAATGAGACAAAAGTTTGTAAAAAGGGCATTCGTGGGAATGGGCGAAATAGGAAACGTCATTCAAAGATTTTTTTATGAGCCTTTAGAAGGAACTTTTGCAAAAGAGAAGCTTCTTTGAAAAAAACTTTAAGCATTTTTCTCCATTCGCTGCGACACACGATGGTAAAGTTTTAAAAAAAAAGGAAAAAGAAGAACAAGAGAAGAGAAAAAAAAAGAAAAAGGAACGACAAAAAACTATTTTACGTTTATATATATATATATATATATATATGTATAAATATAGATATAAATATTTCGTAGTATGGGTAAAGCAAGGAAAAACAGACTCCCAGTGAAAATACGGTTACGGTTTTCGAGCTTTACCTACTTGTATACAATACGCTATATGCACTTAACTGTTATTTTCTCTTTGCAACGACTTTCTGAGAAGAAAAAAAAAAAAAAAAGAAAAAGGACACTGAAATTTCGGTCTAACCAAAAAAAAAAAGTGAACCTTACCACAGAATTTCTCCGGAATATTTCCAAGCGTTTATGGTTATTCATGGTTATTAAAATGACGCTATCTTAAAGTTACTTAAAATAACTATTACCATAATTGTAACCATAAGTAAAAAGCTTTCATACTTAATTTCATCGAAAATCTTCAACGCGTTCTAAAACATTTATATTATTATTTCTCTTCCTTAATTTCTTGGATTAATAAAATTAGAATGTTTCAACTTATACATTCGAATAATTGGAATTAAAATTCTAATAAGCCTTGATGTTAATAAAAGACATATTCGTAGATACGTCATTATCTTTTTTTTTTTTTTTGTCGTGATAATAAAATTACTTTACTTTGACGTCATTTTATAATCGACATAAAAATACTTTTTAGAACCTATCTTTATTCATATTTATATATTATTCTCTTATCTATTCGTTCGTAATTCAATTTTGTCTAATTGTAAGAAAAAATTCTTTGTCGCGTTGCTTTTTAGAAAACGTTAACTGTAACAAGCATGATAACAATGTTCAAAGGGGTATCATCATCACATGCATTGCTATTACTCGATTCGCAATATCAATTTTCTAGGTGAATGAATTTCATATTTGAATGCCCTATAGCAATTGTCATCTGCTCAATACGAACCGCGACGAGATCGCTATAAATGTCGTTTATCCAATACATATATGCATGCGTGCAATCATACATACATATATACGTGCAAACATACATCCGAATTGGTAACAGAACGACAGTGATATTATATTATACATATTTATCTTTATTTTCTGTTTTTTTTCTTTTTATTGTTGTGTAAATTTGAAACTCCTACACATTTTTTTTTTATTCTACAAAATTATTAATTAATTAAAAAGCGAGTATATATAAAAGTAAAGTGCATTCGAAGTGGTTGCTTTTTAATAACATAAACCGAAACGTTGCTACGAAAATTGAGTAATTTATTTTTCTTCTTTTAGTAATAAAACTATAGGACTAACTTAAATTTAGTTATAAAAAGAACATTTTTCTTTTGTGTTCTTGTGTAAAATTTTTTAAAGAGAGAAAGAGAGGAAGAAATGTTTACTGAATCAACCTCGGGAAAACTGATTATCGAGAATCAAATTTAAAGTTTCGAATTTGTACCGATGTTTGCTCGGGAAGAAGTTCTCAAAGAGAACTTGTAAACTTTATCAATCCATAGAATTCTAAAAAATTATAAAATTATAAAAATTTATATAGAAGATCTAAAAAGATATTTAAAGGATATAATTTACAAATATACAGTATTTTCATAAGTTTAATATTACAAATTAACCAGAGACAAATAATCCAAATTCGAATATTGAGAAATGCATTTACCATAAATTAAATACAATACCAAATATAATATAATAAATAAATGAATGATTATTATATATTATAAACTGATTTGAAGAGTTTACACATATCTTAAACAATATGGAAAATATTTAATTGCATAACAATTAAACGCGAATTTATATTGTTTCCTATATTGAAACAATCTCGAATTATTATTTCAATTAATAAGAAATAAAATAATTATTAATACCAGGTGATGTATGATATATCCTAGTATTTATATATTGTATTACTATTTATTTATTATATTATATTTATGTTTTAAAAGATAAAGTTAAATCAGATAGGAGAAATATATTGACCACATCAAAAGAACCACTGTTTTAGTTAGATCAAAAGGAAAGATTTGAAAATTAAGTATTGCCCGCAGTAACTGTCATGTTCGGCTTACCACTACAATGTTACAGATTTCGGACAACTGTATTACTAAGCTTAGTTTAGAAGCGGGTCAGATGGTAAATGAGAGAAAGGCAGAAGTTTCCTCGCCAAAATTGCACTATATGTACTTCGTCCTATTTACTTACTTGCTAGTCTAATATCAAACTATATATATGCCTGATGAATATTTTAAATTTAAACTTAACTCAAATATTCTACTATGCATTCACGCGAATATTTTATTAATCGTAGAAGTAGTTTATCGATAACGCGAATGTCTATCATTTATAATAATTATTATTTCATCAAAATCTATTACTTATTATATCTTGTCTATTATCTTACATATTTTTTTATGATAATATAAATTAATATAATTACAAAGATATATTTAACCCTTCTGATCGAACTTTCTTTTTAAAATAAATTCTTTGTACCCCCGAGATATTTTTTCAAGATTTAATTTTAAATAACTCACACCGTGTATGCAAGTTGCACGATTAAGATGCTTAGAAAACTTTGAAAGATGTAAATTAACTCCATATGTTTGATTTTATCTCTTTCTCTTTCCTTATTCGTCTATATATCTTGAAATGAAATCTACCAATTATTGCCAGATTATATTAGTAGTTTAGAATTTCGGAAATTATTCGGATCTCTCTCGAAGGAATTCATAAAGTCTTGAATTTCGAGATAGAAAGTCGTAACCATACTGTGTGAGTTTTGAAAGAGGAATCACAAGGGTTGGTATGGAAATAGATGTGAAGATGTTAGTGAAAAAGAGAAGAACTTCTCTCTCTCTCTCATACACACACACACACACACACACACACGCTTCCTCTTATTTTATCTTTTTATCTATCTCTTTCATTCTTATCGGAAAGTTCAAGTTTGAAATCCCGTAAGGAATAATATTCTATACGTTTCTTATACGATATGTAGATGATGTAGAAAATTTATGAAGTTACACGAATATCTATCTATCTATCTATTTATGGGTATTATCGAAACTTGTTATAAAGTGAGAAAAGAATATATTAATAAATAAGATAAGCTTGCACATGTCTACAAAACATAACCGGCTCCAAGTGATAGGTGAATAGCCTATTTTTTTACATTTTCAAATTTCTCACACAAAATATACGAGTTGAGAAGAGAAAAAAATTTTCTCGATTTAATTGAATTTCGCGATAAGCGAACATTTTTCATGAATTCCATATAACGAAAGAAATAGTATGCGTATTTTTATTAGCACACGAAACAAGAATCGAATAGTTTTCTTATTATTTCTACTACGAACAAAAATATAATGAAGAAAGAAAATAAAAAAAAAAAAATAAAAAAAGGATAGATAAAAATTCATAATAAATATTAGAAGAGACGTATAAAGGAATAAAAGAAAAATTCTTTTGTAATTTATTAGAGTACTCGTGTTATAATAATATTCTCATCGAATTATTATATCTTACCAACACAACATTAATGTATTGAAGATTAAAAAATTTAAATCCTTTTAAAAAGAAAAAAAAAGATAACATAAGTATATAACTATACGTTCACACGTGTGACAAAAGAATAATAAAATTTAAAAAAATAAAAAAATAAAAAACACACTATACGCAAAGGAAAAATACTTTTCTAATTTATTAGAGTAGAGTTATATTCTATAATACTTTTTGTATTGAGTTATTACGTTGTACGAATGTCCAAGTATTAGAGATTAAAAATTCCTATCCTATGTACAATGAAAAGGAAAAAGATACGCAGATATATACCAAACAAACGTATATGTATTTCAATATCTGTGTATGTGTGTGTATGTAATAAGCCAAGGGCGATCAAAAAACTGGTGCAGTTAGTTGGTTGTGTTAGTACAAATTGGAAAAAGCTATTCCGTTTAATTCAGACTGATATAACAAAATAACTATTAGTATTATTATTTTCATTATTATACGCGAAGAGGGGGAGGGAGTATAAAATAATAGATTATAGAATAAGTATAAACCCTTTTGCATAAATGTATGTATACCGAAAAAGAAAAAAGGTGAAAAAAGAGATAGAAAAGAGATTTAAGTATTAATATAGAAGTACGAAAGATAATTTACCCTCGTGTCTCGTAATTTATTTTATTTGTGGAATGAAAGTAAAATATAAAAAATAGAGATAACAAAAGTGAGTGAATATTTATATTAGTTTTGATTCATTGACAAAAGATGAAAATGTCGCCTTTATATACTTGGAAATTCATTTTCATTTGGTACTTGGATTTTAAAATGTAAAAGTATTATATATTATGTATTACGTGTAAACTTTAAATTGAATCGATGTTCATTCGTTGTGATACGTGAATGTATATCATTTTTATAGAATGCATATTACATATTTATGCATAATTCATTCATCAATATTCTTTTCTTTTTATTTATTTGCTTATCTTGTTATTTATTTGCAAAATATTACAAAACCCAAAAATCTGTTTAATATGTAAATACAACAAATTTAAGCATACATATTGGAATAGTAATATATTTGCACGAAAAATATAATAATCCTATATAATATATTTATAAATAAACCAACAAATTTAAACTACGGAGAAAAATATGATCAAATAATATGATATATAGATAATATAAAAGAAAAAACAAAATACAAATAATTATAAAACATATTAAACAAAAGAAAAAAAAACGATTTATCTTATAATTCATCTACGTGTTAACATCCTATAAACCTGAATAAACATCTGATAATTCTCAAAATGGTTCAACCTAATTTAATAGATTATACTAAAGCCTGTGTAAGTGAGATAACCAGAAAAAATCTCTCTCTCCCTCTCTCTCTCTCTCTCTAGTGAATATTTATTTAAATTATAGGATTTTCATGAGGAAGAAAAATAAAAAGAGTGAAAGTGAGTGAGTGTGTGTGTGTGWGAGAGAGAGAGAGAGAAAATCGATCGTGATCTTCAAGAGTTAGTGCATCGAAAATAGTTTAAGCACCTGATCGGATAAATAGTATATACTCGTGTGTTTGCAGACAGGGAAAATGGTAAAAGGTCTCTACTTGAGTCTATTGTATTCCTGATGCAATAGCTTAGTAAATAGACATGTGAGAAAACAAATCTCTCGTCATCGTCTAGACTACTTGTTACACAAACGAATAACAGATAAAACTACTCGTACGTTATGATCATCTTGTTAAAAATATATCTCTTTTCTTTAATATATATACTCGTATAATTTGGTAAGAAAAAAATTGTTCAAACCTTTTTTAATATTTTATTTCTGTACGACTGCGTGTTCCCCGATATAATTGACAAATTTAGTAATTTCAAATTCGTTCGAAATTTATAAAAAGATTTTGATCGAACATCTAATCAAACCACTCTCTATCTGACTAATTTATTATTCCAAGTTGAATTTATTTGACGTTCATTTTTAAACATGCAACTTGTTGCCGATTCGAAAAATAATCGGATATTTTTTCAATTAAATATTAATAAAATTTTCAATTTATTATTATGTACGACGTGTAAAGATTAACGTAATAGATCGAGTAAACGATTAACCATAATTTATTTCTATTACCCCTTTTTTTTTTTTTTTTTTTTTTTTTAACAATTTCTGTGTAAAATACGAATGAAGAAGGGGGTAAAAAAAGAAAATAAAAGAAAATGCAATTAACTGTAACACGGTACTTTGAAATTTAACTGTGGTAAATCAAGGGGGAAAAAAAAAACAAACAAACCTTTACCAAGGATTACAACATACAATCTCGTAGTCAGACGTTTAGTGATTTACGAATCAACCGGGTAGCAGATTTCCATAATTTATTCCCATTCCCTTTTAATGATTCTCATTTAGAATTCTGCCGTCATATACGATATCCCCAGTGATTCTGTTACCTGGCTTCTTGTATAGCATCGATCCACTGTTTGCAGTCCGTTTCTGTACCCGCTTTCAACTCGTATTTTCGTTGATTTTCCCTTCTGTACGTTATCGCAAAACAGTGCTGTAAAGAGAAAAGAAGAAAAACATAAATTAATATTTTTCATGGATTTTCTATTTTTCTCTTATATCGAATATCGTTAATTAAAATATTAAACTACTGTGACAATGAATTTTTGTTTCAAATATAATTATATAATTACTATATATTCAAATATAATATTATATTTTTTCTATTTTATATTTCTTTCTTTTTCTTTTCCTTTTTCTTTCTCTCGTTTATTTTCAGTACAATATAAAGTCAAAACCGGATTATAAAGAAACGTAAAGTATTCATCTCTGATTTTTCTCCCCGCACAAAGATTTCTCTATTTCTCTCTTTACCTTTACCTTTATCTTTATTTCTCTTTCTCTTTCATACTGATGTAATTAACTCATTATCCGTAACACGGTGTGATAATTAATGAAGCATAATTAACTAAGCATACCTTGCGGTCAACCGTCCTAAGCGAACATTTTCCATTTATTTCAAAGCAGTATACCTCGTTCATTATTATTAACCTGACCATGTACCATACATTATCGTGTACCTAATAGCGTATCGAAATACAAGGATACAAAGGTACCAGTCGACAAACAAACGAAGGTTATTTCACCAACTTGATAACGATCCTATACTTTGAATTAATATATTTCACTTTTAATGCGATCGTTTGATGATTTAATGATAAAATATTTCAAAATAAAAGAAAATGTGTGCAGAAAAAAATAGCCATCGACATAGTGACCTATATTATTTCTAAGAAATCCGATTCTAAAACGATTATTGTATTGATTATTCTCGGAATGAAATGTTACACAATGTGTTTCAATTTTTCTTTTTTACATTGACACAAATCCATGGAAAAATGAATCTAAAAAAATACAAGAAAAATGAATAAAGAGAGAATAATGACTGGTATATACATCGATACATCGAGTTTATTAAAAGTTGATTAAACCTTTCATCAAGATATTGTGCTACGAGTTAATCAAGGGAAATTGGCAAAAATTGATTAAATAATGAACCACGTAGTTATCGACGCTTGGTTTTTTTAACTGACGGGTTTGGATTCAACCATCGTTCTATTTTCTGAACGATTTCGTGTAGAAATTTAATCGATTGTTTTAATTGAGAAATTTTCTATTAAATTTAATATAAACGTAAATATTGCAAAATAATTTATTATCCCATTTAAATCAGTCTTCACATTTAGGATTCATTTAAAGAAAACAAAAATACATATTGTACATTTTTATTCAAATTTAAATAAAAATATATATATACGTATATATTACAACGCGAGTAAATAAATTTAATAAAAAATTAGATTTGATTGGTAAAAAATATTAACGTAGAAATTATCGTAATTATTTATCAAGTAAATTTAATAAAAATTTCATTTCCATATCGTACAATCTTGAATACATTAAATACTAATTTTTTAATTATATGTATACACTCTACATTAAGAGATAACATTTTTTTCTTTCTTTCAAAAAAATTATTATTATATCGTAATTTTATAACAACGTATATTTAAACGAATAAATGAAAAATAAAAAGAAATAATAATACGAGAAATTAAATGTTAACGAAGAGAAATATCATTATCAAACATTATTATAAGTTATCGCTGTACTTAGGAAAATTTAATGAGTGAAACTGTATCTACAATCGTACAAGTTCCAGGAGAAGGTATCGTATAAAGTTATGATATTACGGTTACTGTATATAAGCCAACGTTAAGCCAGCAATCCATCACTTTGCTGCCAAGCACATACACATACAAACCTACGTAGTTACCAGTGATATAATCACGAGTGAAACTCTAGACTAGTAAGTCGATTTTCAGTCGATTTGTCATCAAGATTGCCAAAGTAAATGTTAATTGATGAGTAAGTTGAAATAAATAATAAAAAAAAAAAAAACACTAAATTTAAATATAGTAATTCAACAGTATATAATATCATTTACATCGTACTCAAGAATTCAGTTATTATACATATATGTATATATATTATATATTAACCGAGGGTAAACTTACAAGAAATGTGAGATTTGCCAGAGGGGAATTCGTTTAGAAACACAAAGGAAAGCACAGCTATGAACTGGAAATTGCATTCAATCCTACACCACCAAGCATTGCATTTCAACAATCCATAAATCTTACGTTTTCTTCTTTTCTTTTTTTCTTCAAAAACCATAATTGCGAGGGAGTATAATAATAATGGATGCATTTTCGAATATAATGTGAACTAATATTTGATTTGAAAATATATTATTCATAATATTATCGTGTTATTAATTTAAATATATAAACAATTACACGAAATGACTTTTCGATAATCTCTCTCTCTCTCTCTCTCTCTCTCTCTCGTTTGAGCAAATCTAATACTCGCTTTGAGAAGGAAGATTATAATATTAACTAGAGACAATAATATCCATTAAACCATAATTCAAGCCCTTTCAGAAAGTACAAAGTATATCTCTTCCTATTATCCTTAAACGATGCAATATTACCAAGCTTACTCTTGATTAGTACAAGTTTGGTTTCTCTGCTTAGTAAACTTACTTATACCTGTTTGTCGTCGTTTACTTTACCTATCTTTCATTTCATTCTCTTGTCTAAAAGATAGAATATAGTTATGGTAAACGCATAAGAAATAAAATACAAACTTAGTAATATTTTATTTTCGTAATAAAATGATAATTGGACCGTTTATTTTGAAAGTGGTGTAACTTCATTTTCTGTTGTTTCGACAAAATTAAAGGTTTGCATATTAGTTAATTGAAAAATATTCATTAATTATATCAAGTTCAATAATGTTTCTATTAATTTATCGATATGTAATTTGATTACATTCATTACTTTTAGGATTATTTAACTAAAATAATGTATATTTATAGAGACTGCAAATGGACTTACATTTCAAAATTAGACAATTGTAAAAATCGTTTAATTTCAATTTTGAAAAATGAAATATCACTTAAAATATACTTCATATTAATCCAATTTTGTTTACAAATAATGACATGATATAAAATGGATATAAAATTATCTGTTTTTTGATTGCGTTCTTTAGTTTCTTCGTTGAAACGAAATTTTCTCGTTTCATTTCATGTCAAATAAATTTATTATGTTGTTTACATCGTTTTATAATATCATAATATTCCTGTGGTGTATACAGGAAATTCTTTTTTATATTATTTTTTTCTTTTTTTCTATGGAAATTGGACTTACACCACTTTCATAATCAAAGATTATGCAATTTCATTTACCGACCAATTTTAAATAGTACAAAACATAGAAATTTGTTAAGAAATTAAACACGGACTAATTATACATAAAAAAATTTACATTAAATTAAACACGAATTACGTGATATCTCATTTTTTTTCTTTCTTTTTTTTCAAAAATGAATTTACACCACTTTAAAAATATACGCGGTCCAATTAATGAAACTTAACTTAAATGAAACTATTCTAAAGAAAATTGTTTCTTATTGTTAAATTTATACTTAATTTTAATTTATTAACTGATAGTAAAGTAAACTGTGTCCTTTTTGGCATCGATTTACTTGACTAATCCTTTTAATTTTTATCTAAAGAGAAAATACAGTTTAATACTGTATTGGGTGCAGCAGCGCTTTTGGCTCACTTCGAATGACATTAATCTTATATACGTGACCGAAGAGATGAGATAAGGAAACAAAGACGTACCGTTGAGACGTGACCGATAAAATCAACCTACCAAAGAACCGCTGAGAACTTCTTCCTTACGAAGAAAAATGCATCAAAGATTTTCTTATATAAAAGAAGAAGAAAGAAGAATTTTATGCACATATATATATATATATATATCTGTTTTTTTTTATATATTATCTTTCGATTGAAAAATTGACTGTGATTATTTGTTCTTTTACTATTTTTGTTTTTGTTTTCCCCCTTGTNTTTTTTTTTTTTTTTTTTTTTTACTTTTTTATTATAACACTAAACCTACCGACAGTTAATCTAAGTAAATCTATTTTAATATCGTTACGGGTTACATAATCAGGATATTTCATCAAAAATTCAATACTAATAATAATTGAAATATAATTTGATAGATTACAAAGTTAACGTTCGAAGACATTTAATTTAATAAGCGAACAACGTTATCGATGAATTTTAATAAACGTATATCCGGATTAAATGGAAAGAAACCTAATGAAAGGATGAGAAAGAGATTAAAGATTTCTTTAAGAATTATAGTAATCTTTTCAAGTTACGCGCTTACGAAACCTCTTCGAAAAAGATTTACCATTGGATAGATATATATATTCTTTTTTTTGTTCGATTACAATGAAAAATCGACACGAATGATATATCCACTTTCATCGGACTGAGATAATCTTCTTTAAATTTTCAAGTATAAGATCGGTAAATAATACGAATGGATTCTATTATTAAAATAAAATTCATCAATTTTATCTATATTTTTTTTCTTTTTTTAATATCAACTAAACTTCGTATAAATAATTGTAATTAAATTTGATATAAATATATTCAATTAAAATTTCTATCAATATATAAGAAATGATAAGAATTATTCAATTTATTTACGATTAATCTCTGATGACCTAAAATAAATTATTATTTAAATATCAATGAAATTGAATAAATTTTCTCATGAATAAATAAGCGAATTTTATTACTTCAATAACAATTACATGTTAATAATTAATACGTTACAAGCATTGCAATCAAATGTCGTAGGTATTGTACCACGTGTAATAATTTATCAAATTAAAATGACTTTCGTGATATTTGATAATTATCAAATTACGATTGAAATAACTCATTGAAATTTTGTTTTATATAATATTGACTAATAATTGATAGAACGGAGACTACATATTTATAGTTTTTTCTCTTTTAATATTTTGAAAAGATATCAAAACCAGAAATCTTATAAATACCTAATTAAGTAAAACTTCACTATTGTATTCGAACGTTCTATTATTCAAACGTTACATTATCCC